CTCGGACCGTCTGCTCGGGATAGTTTGAAATCGCGGTTTTGTTCGTCCCACTGGGTATCCCGAATGCTCTGTCCCTGCAATCCCCTGGGCTGGCCCACTGTCCAAGTCTCGTTCAGTCTCAAGTGTAGCCCTCTCAAGTCTCAGGTTGCCGGCTCAACAGGGCACCCAGACAAACGCGCCCTGTGGGGATTGCTGGGTAGGGCTGGCCGCCGCCATGCCCCGGCTGCCGGCTTCACCAGGCAGACTCACTGCCCGGCGTCCCGTGTTCTTTCCATACCTGGGAGTTTCCCCGCTCTGTGGGCAACAAAGATCAGTCTGGAAATGCAGCTCGGACCCACCTCTCTGCAGACTCAACGAGAGCTCCAATCCTGGGCTGCTCTCACAGTGCCATCCTGAGTCCTCCCCCTCTTTATCCACTCTTTCATGAATAGGCATTTAGGCTGGTTCCATACTTTTGTGATCGTGACTTGCACTGCTATAAACATTCGTGTGTAAGTGTCCTCTTCATATAATGACTTCCTTTCCTCTGGGTAGATACCCAGTAGTGAAATTGCTGGATACAGTGGTAGTTCTACCTTTAGTTCTTTAAGGAATCTCCGTGCGGTCTTCCATAGTGGTTGTACTAGTCTACAGTCCCACCAGCAGTGTAAAAGTGTTCCCTTTTTACCATATCCACGCCAACATCTGCTATTTTGTGATTGTTTGATCATGGCCATTCTTGCAGGAGTGGTGGTATTGCATTGTGCTTTTGATTTGCATTGCCCTGATTATTAGTGATGTTGAGCATTTTTTCATATGTCTGTTGGCCATTTGTATATCTTCTTTTGTGAATTGTCTGTTCATGTCCTTTGTCCACTTTTTGATGGGATTATTTGTTTTTTTCTTGCTGGTTTGTTTGGGTTCCTCATAGATTCTGGATACTGGTCCTGTGCTGGATGCTGGTTTGTTTGGGTTCCTCGTAGATTCTGGACACTGGTCCTGTGCTGGATGCTGGTTTGTTTGGGTTCCTCGTAGATTCTGGACACTGGTCCTGTGCTGGATGCTGGTTTGTTTGGGTTCCTCGTAGATTCTGGATACTGGTCCTGTGCTGGATGCTGGTTTGTATGGGTTCCTCGTAGATTCTGGATCCTGGTCCTGTGCTGGAGCATAGTCTGCAGATATTTCCTCCCACTCTGTGGGCTGTCTGCTTACTACGCTCATTGTTTCCTTTGCTCTGCAGAAACTTTTTAGTTTAATTAAGTCTCATCTATTTATTTTTGTTTCTGTTGCATTTGCTTTAGGATTGAACTGTTTGCCTAAGCCAGTGTCTAGAAGGGTTTTTCTCATGTTACCGTTTAGAATTTTTATTGTTACAGGTCTTAGATTTAAGCCCTTGATCCATCTTGAGTTGATTTTTGTATAAGGTGAGAGAAGAGGATCCAGCTTCATTCTTTCACATTTGGCTAGCCATTATCCCAGCACCACTTGTTGAATAGGGTGTCTTTTCTCCACTTAATGTTTTTGTTTGCTTTGTCAAAGATCAGTTGGCTGTAAATATCTTTATTTCTCTGTTCTCTATTCTGTTCCATTGGTCTACATGCCTATTTTTATACCAGTACCATACTGTTTTGGTAACTACAGCCTTGTAGTATAGTTTGAAGTCAGGTAATGTGATACCCTCAGATTTGTTCTTTCTGCTTAGTATTGCTTTGGCTATGCAGGGCCTTTTTAGGTTCCATAAAGATTTTAGAATTTTTTTGTAGTTCTATGAAGAATGCTAATGGATTTTGATGGGAATTACATTAAATTCTCCACTTAAAAGATACAGAATGGAAGAATGAATAAAAATCCACCAACCAAATATCTTCTGTCGACTCATGTAAACTTAAGACAAAGCGGTAAAGAAAGGTATTTGATGCAAATGGAAACCAAATGTGAGCAGGGGTAGCTCTTCTTATATTAGACAAAACAGACTTTAAAGCAATAACAGTTAAAAAAGACAAAGAGAGACATTAGAAAATGACAAAAAAATCAGTCCAACAGGAAAATATCACAATCCTAAATATACATGCACCTAGCACTGGAGCTCACAAATTTATAAAACAGTTTTACTAGACATAAGAAATGAGACAGCAGGCAACACAATAATAGTGAGGAACTTCAGGACTTCACTGACAGCATGACACAGGGGATTAAGGCAGAAAGTCAACAAAGGAACAGTGGACTTCAACTATACCGTACAACAAACAGACTTGACAGAACATTCCACCCAGTAACTGCAGATATGCATTCTTTTCATTGGCACATGGAACATTCTCCAAGACAGATCATATGAGAGTCCACAAAACAAAAGTCTCAATACATTTAGGAAAATCAAAATTATATCAAGTACCCCCTCAGACGACAGTGGGAAAAAATTGGAAATTAATGTAAACCCAGCAGAAGAAAAGAAATGTCAAAGATCAGAGAAGAACTAAATGAAATTGAAACAAAAATATGCAAAGGATCAGTGAAAGAGCTGGTTATTTAAAGAGTTCAACAAAATCGATAGACCATTATTAAGAATAACCAAGAAAAGAAGAGAGATGATCCAAATAAAGTCAATTAGAAATGAAATTGTAGCTATTACAATTGATACCACAGAAACACAAAAACTAATTCAAGGCTACTACGAACACCTTTACGCACACAAACTAGAAAATCTAGAAGAGATGATACATTTCCGGAAGTACACAACTCTCCTAGATTAAATCGTATCAGACCAATAGCAAGTAGTGAGACTGAAACAGTAATAAAGAAATTGCCAAGAAAGAAAAGTCCAAGGCCCGATGGATTCACAGCAGAATTCCACCCAGCATTCAAAGAAGAATTGGTACCAATCTTAATGAAATGATTCAAAAAGATAGAGAAGGAGGGAATCCTCCCTAAGTCATTCTATGAAGCCAGTATCACCCTAATACCAAAACCAGGAAAGGACATAATGAAAAATAAAACTACAGACCAATATCCTCAACACCGAATCCAACAGCATATCAGAAAGATAATCCACCACGATCAAGTGGGTTATACTAGGGATGCAAGTCAAGATATGTAAGTTTAGCACACACAAGTCAGTAAATGTGATACACCACACAAACAGAATTAAAAACAAAAATCATATGATCGTTTCAATAGATGCAGAAAAAGCATTTGACAAAATCTGGCATCCCTTATGGTCAAAACCCTCAGCAAAATTGGCATAGAAAGGACATACCTCAAGCTAATAAAAGCCACCTATGACAGAGCCACAACTAATAGCTTAGTGAAGGAGGAGAAGTTGACAGCTTTTCCTCTGAGAACTGGAACAGGGCAAGGATGCTCACTGTATCACTTCTGTTCAACCCGGAAGTCCTAGCCAGAGTAATCAGACAAGATAAAGAGATAAAGGGCATCCAGACTGGTGAAGAGGGAGTCAGACTGTCGCTGTTCACTGATGGTATAGTTGTATGTGTAGAAAACCCTAAAGACTCCTCCCATAGGCTCCTACACCTGACAAATGAATTCAGCAAAGTTTCAGGATACAAAGTCAATGTCCACAAATCAATAGCAGTGCTAGACACCAACTGTGACCAAGATGAGAATCAAATAAAGAACTTAACTCTTTTTTTTTTTTGAGACGGAGTCTCGCTCTGTCACCCGGGCTGGAGTGCAGTGGTGCAATCTTGGCTCACTACAACCTCTGCCTCCCGGGTTTGAGCAATTCTCCTGCCTCAGCCGCCTGCGTATCTGGGATTACAGGCATGCACAACCATGCCCAGCTAATTTTTGTATATTTAGTGGGGGGGGGGGGTGTTTCACCATGTCGGCCAGGCTAATCTCACACTCCTGACCTCAAGTGATCTGCCCACCTTGGCCTCCCAAAGTGCTAGGATTACAGGTGTGAGCCACCGTGCCAGCCATCAAGAACTTAACACCTTTTACAACAGCTGCAAAAACGAAAAACAAAAACTTAGGAATATACCTAACTAAGGAGGTAAAGGATCTCTACAAGGAAAACATTTATTCTCCACAAGGAAAACTACAAAATGCTGCTGACATAAATCATAGATAGCACAAATGGAAACAAATCCCATGCTCATGGATAGACAGAACCGGTGTTGTGAAAATGACCATAACTGCCAAAAACAGTCTACAAATTCAAAATTAACCATTTTAAACTGTTTTAAAGCACTCACTGGCGTTTGATACCTTTACAGTGTTATGTAACCACTTCCTCTCTCTGATTCCAGAACATTTAAATCACCCCCATATCAACCTGTACCAATGAAGCAAGCATCCCAACTGCCCCTAGTCCCTAGAAAACATCAGCCTGTCTTCTGTCTCTTTGGACTTATTCAGGATATTTCATGTAAATGGAGTCATATATGATACAGGCTTCTTTTCCTGAGCACAGTTTTTCAAGGTTCATCTGTTGTAGCATGTATCAGAACTTCATGCCTTTTTATGGCTGAGTAACATTTCATTGTATGAACAGAACACATTTTGTTCATTCATCAGTTGATGGACATTTGGGTTATTTTCACCTGTTGGCTTTTGTGGATAGTGTTGCCTAAAGAGCATTTTTGATATTACTTTTTAACTTGATTTCATCTGTGGTGGGAAGTGAGACCTTGAGAATGAGCCAACAGATGTATTTTGTAGCCTATACCTTCCTATGACTTGGTTTGGCCACTTCCACCTCTCAGATTCAGGGCACTTTCTAAGTAATGAGTGCTAGGTGCCACCGACAAAGACTTTGCTATGTAGTTCTCTAGGTTCAGTGCTGGAGACTGTGGATATTGCAAAGGGTTTTCATGGTGTTGTCTATGGCCAGGTCCTAAGTGCCTCCCACTTTGGCTCCCATCAACCTCAGTAAGATTTTCCTCCTTAACCTTTCCTTGATCCAACCTTTATCTGAGTCTGTTTAATTAACTTCCCAGGTTTCCTGCTGACCAGACATTTTTCATGACAGGAAACTCCTCTCCTGTCTGTCTCATCTCCAGGGGTCCAGCTGCCAGGAATCACTGGTCTCCACTGACCACTACCTTCAGCCACGCTCTGCCAATCTTCTCTCTTGTCGGATGACATCTCAGGCAGCTCTTACAGTCCATTTCAGGTACAATATTAGGACAACCTTTTTCTCCCCTCCTCCCCCGCCTCCCCTTCCCTCCTCTCCTCTCCTCTCCTCTCCTCTCCTCTCCTCTCCTCTCCCCTCCCCTCCCCTCCCCTCCCCTCCCCTCCCCTCCCCTCCCCTCCCCTCCCCTCCCCTCCCCTCCCTCCCCTCCCCTCCCCTCCCCTCCCCTCCCCTCCCCTCCCCTCCCCTCCCCTCCCCTCCCCTCCCCTCCCCTCCCCTCTCCTTCCTTCCTTCCTTCCTTCCTTCCTCCCCCCCCTTTCTTTCTTTCTCGTCTGGCACTGTAACCCAGGCTGGAGTACAGTGGTGCGATCTTGGCTCATTGCAACATTTGCCTCCTGGGTTCAATTGATTCTCCTGTCTGAGCCTCCTGAGTAGCTGGGATTACAGGCCCATACAGTCATACCCTGTATGTTTTTTTTTTGTATTTTTAGTAGAGATGGGGTTTCACCATGTTGGCCAGGCTGGTCTTGAACTCCTGACCTCAAATGATTAACCCGCTTCAGCCTCCCAAAGTGCTGGGATTATAAGCATGACCCAATGTGCCTGGTCAATCTCTTATTTTCAAGAGTTAAAAAGTAGTCCAGCCCAATCTAAGTCAAAATTCCTATTTTGTGTCCACATCAGTCTTCTTTCCCCAGCTCGGAATGGCTCCCTTTCAAGACACCCTCATCTCTTGGCTGCTACAAACCCACATTTTCTTGGTTTACTTCCTCTCTCTGATTAGTCTCAATTTCCTTTAGGAGGCCTCCTCCAGTTTGTAGAGACACAAGCCCTCCAGTGTGTGGCTCTAAGGCCCTGGGACTGAGCCCTCGGCTTTTGTCTCTCTCCCAGGTGACCTGGCCACTCCTCTGCACTGTATTGTCCATGATTCCCATATTGTTATGCACAGCCCACAACTCCCTCCAGGGGCCCAGGGTATCTATCCATCTGTCTCCTTGTCACTTTCGAGTAGAGATGTCTCAAAAGCATCTCTAATGTAACATGCCTCAAGCCTAATTATTGGTTTATCACCATTTAAATATATAAAATATTGGTCTTTCCCATCTCGGTAAATATTATCACTATGTGTCCTTTTGCTAAAAGTGGAAACTGAGAAGACCTGGTTACAGTAAACGGGCAGAAACAGAGAAACTAAAAGTGAAGTCGAGAAGGAAGGAAAAGGCGTATGTTATTTTAGGTGTTAACTGGATCTTCTAGAACATTCTGAGAAAGGAGAATAGAGGATGGTATTATGTCACCAAAAGCTAAAATGTATCTGCCCTTCAAGTTTTTTCCCTTAGATCATTTGTAGATTATTATTAGAGCATAAAGAAAAGAGAGAAAATAATAAAGACAACCAAGATTCAGAAGAGGCTGAGACAAAGATGTTATACTGAGAGGTGAAATGAAAGGGAGCCCGAGGTTTTGCTCATAGTGCTTGAATTTTATAGGTAATTAATTGTGAAAGGTTTAAGGGATCCCCTTGTCGTGGTAACAACTATGTGCTTACTGTTTTGTAAGGAAAAAAAAAGAGGACTTGGAAAGAAGGATTTGGTGGCTCCACATACGATTGCATACCCATCACAAAACCCTGAAATTGTACTTGAATGTGTAGGAACAGTTGCTGGAGAATAAGGCCGTAAGGAGGGAAGACCCTGAATGCATTAGGATTCAAACTGGGGGAGGAGGAGTTCCAGTGAGGGAGGTGGATGGAGACGGGAAGGATTCGATCGCTTCTAAGATTATTAAACATGTCTGTGTTGCAGAATCTTCCCACCTCTAAGGTTCTTCCTCCTCTGGGCCTGCATAGAACTTGAACTTGGCCCTTGACAGCATTTGCCATGGTATTAGCTGTGATTACTTACTCATTGGATTGAAATCTCTTAATGGCAAGAGTCATGTTTCTCATACACCATCCTGTCTCAGTATCAGGCACAGCCCCAGGGACCTGGTCTCTATGAGTATTTGTTGAAGGAATAAGACAGTAGTTTAATGACTATTAAATACTAGGTAATGTTCAGCAGTAAGAATAATGAAAAATAAGCTTAGGTGTAGGCTTCTTCCGAGGCCTTAACCATTTCACTGGAGGAGACAAAACCCAAAAATAAACAAATTAAGTTATAGAAGTTCTGTAACAATGCAGGCCTATCTTTAATTAAATACTAAGTCTGTGAAGGTGACTGGGCGTGGTGGCTCACACCTGTAATCCCAGCACTTAGGGAGGCTGAGGTGGGCGGATCACCTGAGGTTGGAAGTTTGACACAAGTCTGGCCAACATGGTGAAACCCCATCTCTACTAAAAATACAAGAATTAGCTGGGCATGGTGGTTCATGCCTGTAATCCCAGCTACATGAGAGGCTGAGGCAGGAGAATCTCTTGAACTCAAGAGGCAAAGGTTGCAGTGAGCTGAGATCGCACCACTGCACTCCAGCCTGGGTGATAGAGGAAAACTGTCTAAAAAAAGAAAAAATAATTCCAAATATATGAAGGTGACAATACATTCAACACGATTTCAGAGAAGAGAGTGTTCCACGTATGTGGTCACGGTCAGAGCGAGCATGGGTGCAGCACTGGAAGATCGGGTGGGGTGTGAACAGAGGCAGACTGTGACAAGACTGTGTATAGCCCTACATGTTTGGCCTGTAATCTTAGATAAAGAGGATTTGGGGGAATTCTCCAAGTGCTACCTGTAGGAAGATGAGTTTCCTGTTTGTGCATGAGCGGAAAGATCATTGGCAACGCGGCTGTGTGAGTGGGTGCAGGGGTTCAAGTGTGAGGGCCAGCGAGGGGCCGGCGGACCTTGAGAGAGGGGTGGGAGGGACCTAAGACAAACACAGTGGGACTCTGAGCTGCTTTGAGGCCAGTAAAGAACAGAGGGGCCAAGAGGCTGCGGTGGGGGCGGGGAGTGAGTAGGCTGCCCACTGACCTAGAGAGAGGGAGGCTGGGAGGGAAGGTTGGTGGGGGTCTGATGATGGTGTTGGGACATAATTGAGTCAGGGTCCTCACTGAGGGGAAGCAAGTGAAGCAGGAAGACCCAGTGTCACGGAAATTCATAGGGGAGATTTTGGGAAGCAAAATCTGCCAGCTCAAATGCTTGGGGACTACAGAGGAATGAAGACTGAAACATGGGATTGAATTTGGTAAGTAAAAGGTTGAGAACTTTAGGGGAGCAGAGTCCGTAGTGTGCTGGGTGCAGGGCTGCCCGAGGACGTGTTGGCACAGGGAGGCTGGCCCTCAGGGTGTTAGGGAGGAGGCCAAGGTCGAAGGACAATCCAGGCCCTCTGCTCTCCATTGCTGCAGGAACCGTAGGTAACCTGGACACAAAATAGAAAAGCGACACAAATTTGGAGAAAGACCAAAAAGGAAAAGAACATGTGTAAGATGAGCAGGCGTGATCCGATCTGCACCGATCATGGCACGTGGTGGGCACTCAGTGTATCATCTCAGGGTGGCGTCCTTGGGTGTTTGGAATCAGCCTGTCTCTTCCCCTTGTTTGGCTGACTGGATTTCCTGGAGCCAACCTCGCTCTTCAAAAGAGAAGTGGGAGACGTGAAGCTGGAAGCTCACTCATGGGGACAAGGGGAAGACAGGGCTTCCCTGAGCTGTGAGCATCTGTCTCAGAGGGAGGAGGCCACGGGCGCCCAGGTCCTGCTGCCTTGGGAAAAGGAGTCGAGTCTTAGCATGGCTGCTTTTTCTCTTCTGTGTGCCTGGCCCTACCCCTGTGGTCCCCAGCTGTTTGCAACCTTCTCCCCCCACCTCTTTCACCCTTTCACCTTCTCTCCTCCTTATTTTGAATAAACTCCAGTTTACTTGTATTTTCTCAGTATTGACTAACTTAAAAGTTGAATCTAATTCTTATGGGCAGTAATGCCTTTGGCATAAGAGATGATAAACAAGGTTTCAGATACATGGCAAACAAACACAACTCCTGGAATCTGAAGTCAGTGAAAACTAGCATATGCAATATTTGCAGGGTTAGAGAAATAAGAATGTGAAGCCATTTGGGAAAAAGTGATGAAGAATAGAAAGAAAATCATTACCCCAAAATGGGGCATATGGAGGCAGTCAATCTGAACAAAGTTACCAATTTCAGTTTCTTCTCCAGATGACCGTCAATACCAGCAGTGAGTGAGGCCATTTTTCCTAAAGCCGTTTCAGTCTTACTCTGTGGAAGAACAGATCCATGGTGAGAAAGATAGGTGTTTTCCTCCTTATCAAAGGTAGACATAGTGAACTCTGAGCTTTTCTTTCTAAGTACTTTTGAGAGAGAGAGGCTTGTGATAATCTTGTGACCATCTATTCTCCCTTGAGGGGGAATGGGAAAGTCTTCTGCATCCTGAATTCTGGAAACGTTAGCAGCAGTTCTTCAGTTGGAGCCCTCGCTTCTTTGACCATTTGCTATATTGCCTTTTGGATTTCAGACTTTTTTCTTTTAATCTGAAAGTTTATGAGATTTGAGAAGATTTCGTTTGTTTCTGTTTTTTCTTCGTATTCCTTTAGCTGTTTTTTTTTCTATTCTGCATCTTTTTTTCTGGTGTTCTGAAGTGCCTTGAATTGAACCCAAGTGAAAAGACTTAGGATCCTATTTGGTAAAGGAAAAACAAAAACAAATTTGTTTTTTAATGCTTGGTGTTATTTTAAAATCGGGTCTTTTCTGAGACATAGTCATGTGAAACTTTTTGGCAGTAGCAAGGCTGATTATAACAAGCATAATTGAGTAATGATTTTATATCTGATAGATGACTTAATAATTACTCTGAAGTTGCCATGTAATTAGATGTTTATTTGCCACATTACTTTTATATTTCATCAAAATGATGCGATTTAAACAGCAAAGATGATTATCCCTTGATTATGAGGCCATCACCTGGAACGCTACCTTAATTAGTTCTAGGTTCTGAGGCAATTGCATTGTTGAATCAGATCTTGCTGGGTGAGAGGGTGACTAATGGCATGCAAATCAGTGCTCACGTCCTTGGGAGGCATGATGGAGAACCGTGCACCATCTCCCCACTG